AACAGGATATTTATTATACATTATCTCATACATACGTTTATTTACATGATTATCGCTCATTTACTTAGCAGTTTAATAGACTTAAGAAGGAATTAACCGTTTATCAAGTAATATCAAAGAATCCTATTTCTTCAGCATGCCTTTCGTTTTGAGTTCGTTTTTCTGTCTATAGTTTGGACAAGTAACCAGTTTTGACTAAGACTAAATTGTATGTTCAATGTCTCACATGAAGTAACATTCCATCTTAATCCGTTTATTAAAATGTCACTAGATGAAACGGTGTAATTTACTGGATAACGTTTCGGATACAATTTATTGTCCACTTGATATAAATATAAAAAGCCAATTTTGTCCGAAACGTAATCCAGTAGATGATACTGTTTCATTATGTGACATTTCTAATATACAGACTAAAATGGAATTATAGTCTACTATAGTTTATACATTTATTATTTGTCCCTTGAGTTCCTAGTGGAATATAGGGATTCAGTAGCATGCCTCCATTACACTCTCTTCTCTGAAATATTTTACACCTATCTCCACCATTACCCACAACCTCTCATTTCCTCCTCACTCAATCTCCTCCATGTCTATATAGCTTAGAACGTGATAACATCTAAAAAGAAGTAGAAATTTTTCTTGAACGTAGAGAAAACTTATAATTCATGTTGAGAATGATGGCTACATTGTATTTTTTGAGAGGTAGAACATATTTTTCACTATGGGTTACTCAAGTTGAATCATCTCTAAACTTCGTAAGAAAGACGTGAATTTCTTTCTTTATATTTATCCCTTCGGTTCCTAGTGGAACATAGGGATTCAGTAGCACGTCTCCATTACACTCTCTTCTCTGAAATATTTTACACCTATCTCCACCATTACCCACAACCCCTCATTTCCTCCTCACTCAATCTCCTCCATGTCAACCTCTCCTCCGACACCCAACTCGTCGTTTCCCATCTGGGTTCCACTCGAGTGCCTGGCCTGATGTGTGATGTCCCCAATCGGTCTTCTCACTGTATGTACAATTCAATCCATCTCCACTTCCTTCAAATGCATATTTGTTGAGCGATGGGTTGTTGGTTGGTTCGTTGTCAGGCCAGATTTCCCTGTTGCTTATTCTTATTATTCTGGTCATCTGAGCTTCAGTGACGAGCCAGCGTAGGTGGCAGTTGTTGATGAATGTTTGTAGTTTGTTGGAAATGCTTCTGGTGACGCGCCAAGTCTCTCAACCATATGGTATAGAAGCACTGACTTGACTGGTGTTGGTGTTGAAAATCCGGATGTTGTTCATGTTTTAAGCTGAGTGCAGAAGATTTGCAAACTGGTTTCAGGTTAATGAACACCTGTCTTGCTGTCTTTCCGATCCTGGCTTTGACGTCGTCATCTTTGCCGCCCATAGTTGAAATGATGGTGCCTAGCCTAGGTGGGTGAAGGAGACTACTTCCTTAAATTTTCTCTGGTTAATGGTGATTGAAGCTTGTTGTTGTTGTTGGTTGGTTATCTTCATCACCTCTATCTTCTCTGCGTTCACTTGAATTCCCGTCTTTGCTGCTTCTTCTGTCAACTTGTTAGTTTTCGCCTGTAGATCTTTGAGTTTATGCGACATTAGACATAAATCATTATGGGAGAAATCCAAATTTTCTTCTGGGGTCTTTTCCCCGGTCCAGCGTGTTCCCTCCCTTCTCGCTCCTCACTGTCTGTTACATGATCCGGTCGACCACAATCAAGAAGATCATGGGTGATAGCAGACAGCCTTGTCTACCATAGTGCCCAAGTTTTACTCTTATATTAATGAACTAACATTGTTATACTGTCGATAATAAGTTTAGTTAGTAGAGCATTGAAAAAAAACTTAATGTAACTGTAAACATATGAATTTAAGTTGTAATGATGCTTTTGATTTCTCGTCGCTATACAAGGTCAAATTACTAGACCTCTGTTGTCAGATAGGCACCTATATTGATGTCTCGGTACTGTCGGATATTCATGATGGTATACTGACCTTGGTGACTGACAGGAGAGCCAGGACGCGCAGTTCTTCCGGCTGACGAGTCCCGAAATAGGACGAGATGCGCATTTCTAATTCGTCTGCTAGTCACCAAGATCAGTATAAATGTAAGGTTGATTGGAAAAAAGTTTAAACTCTCAGCAAAGTTCGCAAACGTAATTGACAGATTATTAGAACAGTAATCCCTTTGGCAGTTGAATTGAATATAGATAAGCACAGTTGTGCTACGCAAAAACTGGTTCAAATGTGACGGTTTAATCACTGGGCATGCCTGGTATCAAGGTTTTTTATGATAGCGGACTGTTCACACTGAAGTAAGCTCAAAATAACAATCTAGATAAACTGAGTGTTATAACTTGGATGACTAACATGATTTGATTTGTTGTACAAAGAATTTGCACAAAAGGTTAACCAGATGATTTTCTTTCCCAACTTTCCTTTGGTAGAAAACAAGACATACACTTAGTATCCTCGAGTCAGTTGTAATCTGACTTGTGACGATATATTTATTCAAGATGTAAAATAATTTTAAAAACTATGAGTTATTTTATCCCCCGAAAAGAGATTTCATTCCAGTAATAAACTCTACTTAAAAGGTGGTTATCTTGAGAAAATACTTTGTACGGAAATGAAAAGCAGCATCAAAATGAAGCTTTTGACCAGCATTATATAGGAATATTATATGTTTGGGGTAATACGTCTTTTAAGTTTGAGAAAACAAAATAGCCAATCATATTTATTTGAGTTCAATATTTTCTTTTCTTTAGGTCATCACAACGTTGTGGATAGTGAAAGGGCTAAATTGGTTCAAGGGAATCATCAGCAATCTCTAGATCTAGGTTTCTTGGTTCTTGGTCCCCATCGGTAAAAGGTATCTTCGAACTCGAGTTAATTGGTATCCCCTAGCAGATTCGAGCGCACACTCATCTGGTGCCGCAGTTAGACAAAATATCACGGCTATTCGGACCATGAATCAGCTTCCTTAGGGATGGTTTATGATCATAAGACGTCTTCAATCTGACTTATTCATTCCAGTCTTGATCAACTTTCCGTTTACCTTAATTAATTATTCTTGATTTCATTCAGTTACATCATCTTTTACAGAATCAAGTGTGTTCAGACAGACTGTTTTCAACTGGCTGAACTTAATCCCCAATATTATGCATGTTTCGTTTAGTAACTTATTTATCTAGTGACTTACGCAATCCTATTTCTGAGTCCCTCAATATTTTGCTTGCTATCCCTGTCGTTTACTTCAAGAAACTTTCATTATATGCCACATCTAACTGAGACATTAGTTATTCTTCATTAACTTGCCTTGGATTTCAGGTTGGAATTCACTATGAACTGACATTAGTTTTATGAACATCGAGAACTTGGGAGCACTGGATAGCTGTTTTCTCTTAGTATGGGATTCCTCAAAAATGCTCACACAAGACCCACCTGGGAGTCGAACCCAGGACCTTCAGGTTCCTCCAAATGATGTCACCCCATGATGAATTCCAGCCTGAAATTAATTAATAAATCTCCAATAACCTCCAGATTGAATTGCATTGGATTTGCCATTACTTCTCGATTGTTTCAGTCCAACCTAACTAACTGAACAGTATTCTGTTTCTTGTAGTAAACTAGAATATGCAACAACTGGTCACTGGGAAATAATCAGTTTCATGTTATCTAGTCTCTGATACTTATAGAGTTCTACTGATCATTTCGCAGTATACTCACCAAGTTTGACGACTCATTGTTGTGGTGCACTCTGATTCATGCTAGTCATTTCGAAGGTATTAACACGAAGCCGTAGGTCTAGGTTTTATAGTTATTGTCACTCAGCAATTCCTTGCAACCAGCTAATATCAATCAGACGGTATCACGATGATAAGTCTCGTAGTTTGATGAACACAGTACTAAATGGTCAACAGAGTTTGTTTAGCAATGAGGACTAGAAAACATGAAATGGGTTAATCACCAGTACTTAATCGATATAAAACAATTTAACCAAAATTCCGTATTATTACTAATTAAGCAAAGTTCATTACTTTAATGCTTGCTTACGTAACTTGCGTTAGCCTTTCGAACAACGCTGTATATTTAAGTTGAACTATTTGACTAGGCAGCACAGACTAGAAAAGCTAGAAAAGTGATGAAAAGTACTAGACAGTTGATTATCCTCCTGATTTCAGTGTATAAACAGAGCAAAAGTATGAATGTGATAAGAAATGCAAATCAGATGGATGTCACGTACATAAGCCTGCAAAAAGGAAGCATTAAATAGTGATAGTAGTAGTAGTAGTAGTAGTAGTAGTAGTAGTAGTAGTAGTAGAAGTAGGTAACTAAGGACTGGGTAGATACATAGGTTACGCACTGGTAAGCGATTCGTGTATGTAGTCCACTCCTACAATGGATTTGTTTTAGGCTGAATAGTTTGGCAATGATGTCTTTGATTTCATCATTTAGTGACACAGCTTCGAATCATCCGTTTTGTAGATGTGTCTTGCTGAGCGGCAGAAACAATGAAAACTAGGTTGAGTAAGGCTTTCTGCCGACTGACTTCCAACATCTGACATGAAAATTATTAACTTTCTTTACAACTTCACTACGTTTCAGTTGTGGTCGTAAGTACTGTTCACTAAAGTTGTTCCCAACCGTTCGAACTTTAGTAGGATCAATCCTGTTTGATACACCATTTGCAAAGTATTGAAAACATCCAAAATGTAACCATAGGTGTCCAATGGTTATTCAATGCATGTGAAAAAGAATGGTTAAACTGAATATAGATCAATCTTGGGTCATGGATATTTCTCCTTCGTGAGAACTAACTGTACAGGATCCAGCTAAGCTTTATATGTTATTTATTATTTATTTCCAGTGGCATAATGCTAATTCACTTAACTTACGAGTCACATTTCATGCAGAATTCCACAGTTAATCACCACGTACCATTTAGTTTCAAGCATCTAGTTTCATACTGTAATATGTACAAATATTTCCAAGATTTATAAACTTTTTATCTGTATTTCAGAGAAAGATATTTAAATCATATACAAGGATATGTATGCATTGCAAAAACGCTAATCATGTTCAAAACTTCACTAGAATGTCAATCCATTAATCATTGATCAATAGGTGGGTAATAACAAAGTAAGTAAGGGTTTAAGTTTCACTTTATTAAATCTAGAGTAAAAAATATATTAAAAATGCTTGATATTATTTTCCTTGAAAAAGTGAGAAAATCATTTTTTGTTTAAATTATTAGTCATATATACAATTAGTATTCTAATGATTGTAAAAAGTTGAGCGTGAACTGTAATGAGATGTACTTACTTTATTAGTGTTACCTTTTGCATATGAATGTTTACGTGCCTCCTTATTTATCTATGTAACAATTGGAGTTTAGATATCTGCGACGGATACAATAAATTAATGATTGAACATTTAACAACTTAAAAATTCGTCTGGTTATTTGTTTTACATGTATCTAAGAAAATATATATGGAAGCACTGAATTCGTTGATGATAGCTAAGATATTACTGTCTGAAAAAAACATTCCAATTAGAAGGAGTAAAATTGTTTGCTTTTTGTTCACAGACGATGACAATTCTCATCACTGTCATTGATATCTTTGTTTAAATAGGTAGATTCATTTATATCAACATTGAATTTTACCATTCTCGTTGCATCTGTATTGTTAGTCAACACTTCTGTGAAGCTGTCATCTTCATCTTCTTCAAGAGTTTTCAATGTATTGACCACTTCATCCTCTTCATTTATGTATGCTTGATTATTGGTTCCAATTGTTGGAATTTTATTGCGATCATTATTAGGCTGTTGAATCTGATGTTTCAAAGCACGACTTCGTGACTTCATTACATCCAAAAAGGCTTCATCAAAATCTAACTGTCTCTTTTGCTTTGGTGCTAAACTTGGTCTACGTGAATATCGAAAAACTTGTTTGACTTCTGGAGCTAAATTGTCACTAGTCAACGTAGATGATCGCCTTCGGTTTGTAGCATTTGTACCAAATTCGATATGATTGGGTTCCTCAACAGGTTTCAGTACATTATTCGGTACATTTAATTTATTTGCGCTAGGTAGATTTAACATTGAACAGTTGGCACTTATCAATCCAGGTATTGATACTGTTGAAACATGCGATGATAAAAATCGATACTTCAGTGTTTCAGGTATATCTTTTAAGATAATTTCAGTTTTACTTGGTCGCATTGTAGCATAATGCAGTTTTAATGCAATCTTCTCATAGACTTTTAGCATTTTTTGATCATATGTATCAGGTTCACGTTGTAGAAATCTACGTAGGTATTTTTCATCGAGACGCATTATTAAATCACGTATAGCGTTCCGACCTTTAGAACCGACAAGACTTTCAATTCCAGCCAGTGTTTCATCAAATATTCCGTCATTTAAAGAATCGAATAGACTTAGTTTTTGTTTAGCTTCCATACGAATTTTTAATAACTTGACAAGTGGCTTCATTGTTATACCCATGAAACCAACAGTGAATAGAATAATAAACAAGGTTGTTGTTACAATTAATTCACGATTGTACACACCGTTTGGTCCAAGTTTACTTGGTAGAATGAGGACAGCCAGTGAAAAGGCTACAGCTCCTCTCAATCCTCCATAAATCAGAACTATCTGTTGAGTGAAGCTGATCCTAGTTCTAGAATAAGGGGATAAATTGACTGCAGCTGTTATGCCGAAAACAACAACAGCACGAGCAATCAGACACCAAACTAATGCCCAAAGAATATAACCAGTATGCCAGACAAGTTTGGTAGAGACCACCTCAATTCCCAAGAATAAAAATATGACAGATTCACTCATCTCAGAAACAACTTTAGTTAGATTCCTCACCATTGTAATTGAATGTCTATCTAGATTGTGAAATGCATAGGCAGCTTGAACCAATCCACAGCCAATCATTGAAATAATCCCCGACCATCCAACACAATCAGCCATTATGTAGGAAAAATAAGCAAGCAACAGTAGAGTGAAAGCATTCAAACGGCTCTTGATTCGGGTTACTAGACATGTGAAAATCCCATACAAGACACCAATAAGAAGTCCACCGAGGCTTACTGTGAAAAAGGATGCGATACCGATTCCAATTTCTTTTCCAGATACATATTCCTTCCCAGTGAATGCATCCATGATGTCATACAGTACAACAGTTACAGCATCATTCAACAGAGACTCTCCAAATACAATATAGTATAAGCCTAATTCTACACCAATATCTTGAAAGATGGCCAACACAGCAACTGGATCAACAGCGACAATCAGTGAACTGAATAACAAAAATCCTTTGACATCAAAATCCAATTTTGGTGGTCCAAATGCTCCTACTTCATTTAGTGCATACATAACAAATCCAATAATTAAAAAGTTGAATATTGTACCCAATACAGCAAATATTAAAACAACTCCAAGATATTCAGAAAAGGTTCTATTATACAGACTATAAGCTGATTCTAAAACTATCGGTGGTAATAAATATGTGAAGAATAATGAAGGTGTTAACTTCCAAACATTTCTTTTTGCAACTCCTTTTTCAATCCCATACCGGACAATTGCACCGAAGATAATACCGATGACGATGAGAACAAATGATTCTGGAACATAGGCAGACACATACGGTACGCGATGGTATGTTATTTTGATGAGTATCATAATCAGTAGAAATAGCATGACAGCAATGTGTATTTCAAAGTCAGAAAATTCCCATTTCGCCACAACTATATCGCTACTATGACCACCACCGCCTCCATCACTATGTCCACTCCCAGGACCACCATGGCTACCACCAATATTACTGGTGTTCTTGGTATGATTTGAGCGAACCTGACCACATTGTGTACAGTGCAAAGATAAAAGAAATGTAAGTGTAGTGATAGTCAGTGACTCATAGCTCATTGTCATTTAAAAATGCAAGAAATCAAACTGTGTTGGCCACGGCGGTACTTACCGTACTGATGGATATGTATATGTGTATGTGTATGGCACAGAAGAGTTGAAGTGACTCGTCTTCTTCAAGAGTAATAAATTTGATCAATATTATTCTTAATGAAGTCTTACTTTTATCCCTAGCTCAGCTTCAGATAAAATAGCTAGCTGTGTTAATAGCAATAATACTACTAATGATCATGTCGTCTCATTCATTTATCTTATATTCAATTCACTATTACACTGAACACATATCCTGTCTGTACACAATCTGTTTAAATGTCTATAATATAAACTTATATCTTTTTCGCACTGCTTTTAGTATTGTATTTTTCAAACTGACCAATCATAAGTTGAGAAGGTACAATCAGAGAAATTTGTATCATCTGGTTAGTTGAAAAATTAAAACAAAACAGAAACTATTTCTCAATTAAACTGACTGTTTTGCGTAGAATTGCATTTTTTCATAGAAAAGAAAGCGAAAAATACAAAAATTTTAAAATATGTTTAAAAAAATTTTTATTTCATATTTAAAAAACATTGAGAATTAAGGAAAAGAGTAAACAAATCACGTCAGTTGTTGTAAAGTGTCTTTTATTCAGGATGTACGGTAATAACGAGATCGAAAGAAAAATTCTTAGTTAGGGCATACTTTCAATCAGTGTTCTTTGAGTTACTAGACTGATATTCTGTCAGCTAAGTTACAAGATTCGTCTACCAGTAAGGTTTTATCACTGAATGCATCATGATAGGGAATTCTAACCAATAACAAAGTAGAACGGAGCTAGAGAGGAATAACCTACAACCAGCGATAACCAGAATTTCTTCCAAGTACTTTACAGACTGTTTGTTTACCACCTGGATATTAATAATGGAATGGTTTGATTTCTGAACACTATACTATTACGATAACCTCAACCTGTTAGGCAGCAGACAATCTCAGGATACAGTGTACGTAACAAGTTATAAATGAGTGAAGTACTTAAAATTGTCAGAGACTGAAAGAAAGCCCATAAAGTTCAGAAAACAAGTTAATCAGTGGAACACATAGGCTATACAATTTAAAAATCACAGCGTACTAAGCGGGGGGGGGATTGTTAAAGTACAACGTTAGATAGATAAGTGTATTAAAAGGATTACGTTATCAAATGTGGCTGTAGGAATAAAACTGACTTACTGAGTTAAAATTAGTGGACACTTCAGAAATAGCACTACATAGTAACAAAAAAACTTCAGAAAATAATTTCAGTCGCTACAGCAACGAAAAGATAACCACTCATTCTTCACGTATGCAAACGTTCGTTAAAGAAGAGTTTGCAAGTGTAGTGAAATAGATTTAATGCCTTTTGAATGTTGATCATCTTGAGGGGATTCATAACAATGACAACATATCATTAGATCCATCAGGTGTTTGATAACTATGTCTGTAAACGCATTACTTTCTTATGGTGACAAATTCCTGGGAATGTATTCACAGAACTTAGAAAAAAAAATGTTTTTCTATCTTTCTGACATTCTTACTTTAACACATCCACTCAAATTTCCAAGAGAGGCTGAAGATGTTATCAGTGAGTTAACGATCCATTTGGTATTTCATGACTGAACTGGGATTACTGAATACAATCACACCACTTCAACTCTTCTCTCAACCCTTTTTCACTTATTGTTCTTCATAAATGGGAGTGGCATGAAAGCTGGATTCTCTTTACTAGTTGAATATTTTGGTTTTATTGTCTCTTTTCTCTCATATTTCATTATAAACTTCCCTTGACAATAATTTAACGTCTATACTAATATACACATTTGGATACTTGGTTAACAACCTCCGAAATTCACTTTTTTAGTTGCCTGATTCTTCACAAACAGAAAATATGAAATCTAAAGTTAAACACGTAAACAATAAAGACTTAACTACCGATGTATTTATGGAGAACCCAGACATTTGAACAGTATTTCAGTAGGCTGCTATCAATTTTTTTATAAACTTGTATTATCGGACAGCTACATACATAGTTGTGTGATTTTTTGTGGAAAGTTATTTGTACTACTGATTGATTCTGAGGGTTTTCGACAATTTTCAGTTTTATGATAGATTTAAGTGGTACGCACTTTGCACATTCTAACAGTTATCTCTTCTCCCTAGGATCCTTTACAACAGTAGGGAATTCTGTATACGGTTTATCTCTTGAATATAGAATATTTACTTTTCTGAACAGAGTTCTCATTCGACAATGTCTGCAACCAGTGGGACAAAAACCATCGTAACTAGATAGGTCAGTGGATAGCTCTCTAGTTTCTAAGGCTATAGGTACCTGGTTCGAGTTTCTAGAGGGACAGTATCACTTTTGAGGTAGTATAGACATCCAGTTATCAGACTTCAAACGGTGAAACAGGTTACCTGGATTTCACCCATAAACAGGATTCATTATTACTGTCATAATGAAATCAGCGGTAATATAACATCTACGCAGAAGCTCTTGTTCCAACAACTATTGATTACTTCGGTTCGGATCAATGAGTGAAGTGAAAATACAAGATACAGCATGATAGCTATTATAGTCTACATGTAGCTGCTTACATATTTATCTTCTGTAGGAATTATTTTGAATTCTGTAATTTATTTTTCCTTCTTATACTCAGATTTAAGAAAGTGATCCGGTTCTTAGTTTTAGACTGTATCGTAAACTTAATATTCACACTTCTATAAGTCTCCTTTGACTATCTGTTGCTAAACAGTAGGTTGGAAATGAAGTGAACTCACTATACTTTTATAAACTGAGTTATTCTTGTTTTTTTCAAATGTATTGAGGGAAAGAAATGTACAATACTGATCATTTTAACTATTCAGCGGTAACAGTAATACATTTAACCGTTTGCTGATATGCCTGTAATTCTCTTGTTATATTGCATAGAATTGATCGAGGTCATATGTCAACAGAGATTGAACAATTTGATCCAGTATAATAACCGAGAATTACAAGTATATCAACAGGTAGTAATAATTTATACCCACTGGATAAGAGGTTCCTATTGGACCTGAGTGGTCCACTGAGTAGCACTTTAGCGTTTGCAGTGGTATGCACAACGCTTGAATCTCAGTGGGGAGAACAGCACTCACCAAGGTACATCCAACTGACTAGTTCCGAATTGGACGAAACCAGTATCTTGGATTCCACTGCTAGCCACGACTAAGTAAATCATAGTAATGCATCTTGTATACATGCAAGAAAGGGTGTTAGCAAACTTGAAAACGAGCTTCATTTTACTGCTTGTTTGTGTTTATCCTTAAAAGGCATGAAAGGCAAATAAGGTCTCATTTAAATTGTTTACATGATTGTTCGTTTTTTAGTTGAATAACAAACTTTCAACAAAAAAATAAGCGGAAATAATAATGGATGTTACCTAAAATATTTTCTTGTTGGAAAGTAATTGAATTCGTTATCAAAGTCGGAAGTTAGATATTCTGTTTGAATACAATAATGCTTGCAAGTTATAACATGGCGAACAACTTCAAATGTTTATGACCTCATCTTCTGATGACATAAGTGTTGTTCCACTTGGTGAGGTTGATTCGTATTAATGTTTATAATAATTTATTTTATGCTTAATGGATGATAATAACATTCACAAACAATATGCACCACTTAGCATCTGATAACCAGTTAAGCTCTGAGTTGAAATAAAGTATTATTATTCTTAAAAATTTAGACGTCACACAATAAGTGGTTATCGTGGCTCGGTGGTGCAGTGGATAACGCTCTGGTGTTTGAAATGATCGGTCTTGAGTTTGACTTTTAGTAGGGACAACATTACTCACTAGGAGTCACGAATATCCAACCTACGAGTCCTTAGTAAAACGAAACGCACATCTCATATTCCCCTGCTAGCCACTACCCATCATTAACTTAAGGTAGTAGGATTATTGTTAAATTAAAGTTAAGGAAGATATTTGCAATAAAGTATAGATAAATATGACCTAAATTATTGCCCAATGAATGTAAAACAAGAGGTAGTTCTTTGAACTTTGTAGCATGGTTGAAGGCAACCGGTAGGAAGCTATGCTTAACATAAGGTTTTCGCCTGCTGTCTCTCATCCAAATCTATATCATCCAGTACTGCAGTTAGAGACGTGACTACTGAGATATTTGGTCAACAACTGACCTCCTAGTGAACTCAGTTAGGATATCAATAGCGTAATCCACATGCGATATGAATGAAATTGAAAGAATAACCTTTGCATCCACTGACTACATTGGTACACATATATCACAACAATATCAGAACTCAAGAGTCAGAATGAGAACATTGTTGAAGTGAGACACTAGCTTATATACAGAAATATTAGCAAAGTAGTCATAATTTGACCTTCCATTGGTAAATAGGTAGAAGTAACATGGAGTTTGGCAGATAAAGAGTACAATTAAGACTGTCTTTTTATACCTTCTAACATAGATTCCCTTCTCATTTAACCTTGACAGCATGCAAATAATAGAACTCAAGATATTTTAACTGAGATGAGCCGAGATGATTTGAAATCTAAGTAGCAATTCAAATTAGACACCGGTCTCTAAGCTTCCGTCTTGTTTTCGTTTAATCTTGCAGTCCAACAATGCTAGCTCACCTTCATTACTTTCTAAGTTATAGGTTAATTGGATTTCATTCACTACTGCATTTATATGCTCCAAGAACCTATTGATTTGTTCTGATTTCGGTACTGCAAAATGTTTCATCTACAAACGGAAATCATATCTCTGGATTAGGACTAAATGTCTGAAGAGAGATCCGTTCCCAGCTATCTATAAATATGTCTGTGAGGATAGGGGATATTAGTGATTCCATGGCAACCTCTTCAGCTTGTTAACATATTTTATCCTGAAACTTGAAAACTGTAGGCGGCAGGTACAATCGAACTTGTAGTATGATTTCCTTGATCTACACCCTAGTTTGATGAGTAAACTTATTGTAATGTCTAAGCCCGTTTTCAACTGCCTCTAGAGCAATGTCTATTGGTATATTTGTGTAAAGGTTAGTTATGTCAAAACCAATCATTTTTTTCATCGTCATCTAAATTTATATCATCTAATCTATGCTTCAAGTCATAACAGCTAGTAAATTGGGATTTTGAGTGGTTTCTTATCGGGCCTAGAATCATTGTTAAATATATAGACAACTCGTAAGTTGGAATGTTTCTAAAATCTACTACAGGCTTGATAGGATAAAACCTGGCTCATGGATCTTAATAGTATCGTACCTTCTACTCGATTATTA